GGTCCCGTCCCCGGCGGGGCCCCGAAGCGCTTCGGGGGAGCGGGCCCCTGGAACAGGGACGGGGGTCCTCGGGCTTCATCCCCGCCCCAGCCGCATCCCTAACCCAGGGGTCCATCTCAGATTCCTTTGAAAATTCGGAGAACAAATTCCCTCTGCCGTCCTTTATTTTACCCGTGTTCACGGATACCAGTCTCTGTGGCAACTATACGTTCTCCCTACAAATGGAGAAAATGATGCAGGGAAATATTTCTTAGCTTCTTTACTAAAGCGGTTCAAAGTTCAGTGACAATTTTGATTTTCCTTGCAACATGTGGGTTGTTATTTTTGTTTGGGTTTCTTTTGAAATGGTTCTATGTATTTAATTAAAGATAATTATGTAATTACATTTATATTTTTATATATTTAATTAGTCCAACAGGTGAAAATGAAAGAGCAGACCCAGTATTTATGTTGTTTTCACATCCATTCTATTTAAGGGCCACATCATGTGGAATGTATTAACTCACAAAAATTTCTATAAACCAGAAAAGTGCTCATCTCTATTCTAAAGGTGGCAAAAGGACCAGAGCTGAGATCCACAAATGAAGAATTGAGCGTTCACATTGCCCGGGCTCCACGCCAGCACGCTATTTCGGTTGCAATCCGTAAAGCGTGCAGTCACTCAGCTACATTGTCTCTGGATTGGAGTTGGCACTTTGGAGCTGGTGGGAAGAGCTCCTGCTTGTCTTCACTTATCCACCTACCTGTAGGTATGTAGGATTCAGGGTTTGGAGGGAAGTCTGAAATAGCAATTTCTAAAATGATACTGCATCCTCTGGACTCAAACAGTCTGAAGATTACCTGTGGCCCAGCTTTTGTAGGTCTCCATAGGCTTTACGGTTTTGCCACATCAAGTGGAAACACTTGAGATATGTGGCTATAACTGGGCACCTCCGTTCTCTTGTAGCAGTATAAAGGCTCTGACGGCCTCTGCTGCAAGGTGTGATGTGTGGCTGCAGCATCATGAGCACATGACACAGAGGTCTGGCTTCACATAGGAGGTATCAAGCAGAGAAGATGTTGGGAGTAGACTAAAGGGTTGGAGAAATTCACAGAGGAAAGAGGCTGGAAATGTGTAGTAGTTCAGGTTGCACAAGGCCAGATCAGATTTATTTCTTAGACTGTAATTTAAGGCATCTCCTCACTCCTAGGGACACAGACTGTTCAAGGGTAGCATTAGCCAGTACCTAGAGGGCATGAATTCAGCTATGAACATGTAATTTCCCAAAATACACTGATTCTGCTCTCTGATAGGACTCTGACAGTCAGCCTGAGTTCATGCCTAAACTCTGCTGAAATCCACAAACTGCATGTTCTTCTGTCTGCTGTGCCTCAAAACACCTACAGCCTAGCGGTGGGCAACACAGTGATGGATTAACATTCCAGCAACACCTTTTCAGAATAAAGGACGGAAATGCCCTGCCTGGCTCCTTCCCTACTTGAAGGATCCAGCATTCACCCAGGTCATCTCTGCTCAACAGAAACATGCTCATGTTCAATTCCCAGCTGTGCTTCCCCCAGAGGCCCACACACTGCCCACCAAGACATGGGCAAGGAGCTGGGAAAGAGGTGCTCCCCACTCCCACTGAACAGGGCAAACAAAAAGGGATGCACCTGTCAGTCAGGGCAAGAAAGGGTGCAAATGACTGTGTAAACCCACCTGGGCAATGGTTTCAGTAGGTTAGAATAAGCAAGACCACTCTCCCTCAGATGTATTGTTGTCCTGGTTTGAGTGACACAGAACTAATTTCTCTTCTAATACTTGGGAAAACTGTGCTTTTAGAAAAATCGAGTGTCTGAGTTTGTGAAAATATTTACTTTGTAGCCAGCTATGCTGTGTGGGTTTCGAGGTCTCAGTGTTTTTCGAGCTCATCAGGTGCAGGGATGAGGAGGAGTGAGACCTGAGCACTTGACTCAAGCTGGCCAACAGGATTATTTCATACCTTGAATGTCACATGCAATATAATTTAGAAAGTTTGCTGAGGAGCTCGCTCTCTCTTCCTTGAGAACTTCTTGCCCTGGTGCTGGACCCCTGAGCCCTTCCCTCTCTCCAGAAGCTGTAGCACTCGCAGTGTCTGACCTTTGCTTCCACTGCTGGCAGTGCACAGCTGCCTAGTGATGTAACTGGCTGAGTATAATCCTTGTATATTTTATATTGGTATTGGGATCAATATCAGTTCTTCAGTGCTATTAATGTTAATTATCTAGTCTTATTCTATTAAATCTGTTTATATTTCAATGTCCCGGGTTTCCTTGATTTTTCCCGATTCCCGTTCCTGGGTGGGGAGGGGTCATTGGGTGATAGAACGAATGAGTAAATGGCAATAAATTCTTATGGGTTTCTCAAACCGTAATAATTGTTTCAATATAAAGTACAGGAGACAAAGAAAGATCAAAGAATAATAACGTAAAATAAAAAATAGAAAAGCATAGGGTTACAGAGGAATGTTTCTTTCATCATTAGTATGATTCTCCGTAAGCCTGCATTTCTGATGCTCTATCATTTATAGAAACCCTTAGGGCAATAATTATTGCTACTAATAATTCCAACAACAATAACACATGGCTAGCAATGCAGTGGTGCAATGCATGGGTGGTTTGGCACCCCACCTCGTACCATAAGGTCCGGATTGTGGCTGTTTCCTCAGTACTAATATGCTGTAACAATGACTGAAATGTGAAAAAAGATGCTGGAGAAAATATCACTATATTTTAGTACAGCAATATTTGAAGCATCAAATCTACTGTCCTGTTTACAACCATATAACAAGACACTCTGCAAGGTAAACCTACAGTGAACGTTGCTTAGGTGCAAGTGAACGCCTGTGGAACTCACTGAAACTCCGGAAGGAAGGAGAGAGAAGGGATGTCTACATGCAGCTGCAGCATAGAGGAGAAATACCCAGCTTAGCTCCAAACAAGCCAACTGAGGTGTTGAGGACCAGCCAGGGCTGGAAAATGGAGCTCAGCAAGGGCTACCTGTGTGGCCTTCGCGGGAAGACTCAGAGCTGTGGCAGGCAACTCAAGTTCAGCCTGCAAGCTTTACAGGATTTACAAGCAAGCTTGGACCAGGGCCCAGTTTTGAGAAAAGTTGGACTCCAATAACAGTATTTCTTCAAAATTAAGTGAGGCTTGACACTGGATTTTGAATTTTCACCTTTTTTTGAATCTGAAACTTAGGAAGCCAATGCCACCCTGACCACGGGGAAGAAAAGAATGCAGGAGCTACTCCAGGAGTAATGTGTTTTTTACTATTTACTCACCCTTCTGTTTCACCTAATTTTTTATAGCTTAAAAATGCATCTATATACCAGATATTTAATAAAGACACAGAATAGTTAGAAATCTTGACCTTATCCTACAAATGTGTGGATGCGAGTAATTGTGCTCAAATGAGTTCCCACTAGCTTTGACAGGAAAGTGTGGTTGACTTAAAAATAATGCTAGCAGAATCAAGTTTCTTGATATGTCTTCATTCTTCCATAATCCAGAAAAAAAAGCACAAACATAGTTTCATCATGAAATTTTTAAAAGCCACTGAAGTTTCTGAAGTGATCAATTCCTTTACATTTGATGACTATACTATTTCTGTACGCAGTCATGTTTCAAACAGTATTTTAAATATGTGGGTTTTACTTCACAATAATGTTGCACTGCAGATATGCATGTAATTTATCTGCGTTAAGGCTCCTAAAGATCTATTACAGCTGACAAGGCTTCTTTTTTAAGCACTTAAATATAGACTTGAATGACAAACCATGAAAATAAATCTTTCTTCATTCTTACTTCAGCTCGTTCTAAATTTAATGTCTGTCATATCTGACCGAGACCTTTCTGTGAAGGAGCTTTGAAAGTTTGCTTTTCACCTACTTGGTGGGCTTGGCAGTGCTAGGTTTATGGTTGGACTTGATGATCTTAAAGGCTAAATGATTCTATGATTCTATTCTATTCTATCATTCTACTGAAATTACTGGGAATCTTTCATTTGACTGTGGTGGTCTGTGTGAAATAAAAATTCTTATTGCAAAAATATGAATTTTTTTTTACATCAAAGCCGCCTTCTCAGTTCAGTGTATCAGTAACAAGTATTAATTCAGCATCAAGCTTTTCTCTTTAATTTCAGTTTCTAGATATATTATTTACATTTTCATAAATAATTTACCCTGTCGCAAATCCAGCATAAGAGACAAA